ACCTCAGCAGACCTACAGCAGGGGGGCCAGACTGTCAGAAGGAAAACCAAGAAACACAAATAAATAACCTCATCATCAACAAACAGAACGTCCACTCCGAGAACCAATCTGAAAGCCAGCAACTACAAAGACGACAGGTGGATAAACCAATAAAGATGGGAAGAAACCAGCACAAAAAGGATGAAAACATCCAAAACCAGAACACCTCTCCTCCTAAAAGGGATCACAACTCCTCACCAGCAAGGGAACAAGGTTGGATGAAGAATGAGTGTGATGAAATGACAGAATCAGCTTCAAAAGGTGGGTAATAAGAAACTTCTGTGAACTAAAAGAAAATGTTCTAATCCAATGCAAAGAAACTAAGAACCTTGAAAAAAGATTTGATGAAATGCTAAAGAGAATGGAAAAAAAAGAAAGGAATGTAAGTGAATTGATGGAGCTGAAAAACACAACACGAGAACTTCGCTAAGCATGCGCAAGTTTCGACAGCTGAATTGACATCAGAGGTCGAAGATCAACTCAATGAAATAAAACAGAAAGGCAAGAACAGACAAAAAAGGGTAAAAAGGAATGAACAAAGTTTCCAAGAAATGTGGGACTATGTGAAAAGACCTAATCTATGTTTAATAGGTGTACCTGAATGTGACAAAGAGAATGAATCCAAGCTGGGATACACTCTTCAGGATATTATCCAGGAAAACTTCCCCAACCTAGCAAGGCAGGCAAACATTCAAGTCCAGGAAGTACAGAGAACATCACAAAGATATTCGTCAAGAAGAGCAACCCTAAGGCACATAATCGTCAGATTCACCAGGATTGAAATGAAGGAGAAAATACTAAGGGCAGCCACAAAGAAAGGTTCGGTTACCCGCAAAGGGAAGCCCATCAGACTCACAGCAGATCTCTCAGCAGAAACCCTACAAGCCAGAAGAGAGTGGGGGCCAATATTCAACATGCTTAAAGAAAAGAACTTTCAAACAAGAATCTCCTATCCAGCCAAACTAAGCTTCATAAGTGCAGGAAAAACAAAATCCTTTGTGAACATGCAAGTACTCAGAGATTTCGTCACTACCAGGCCTGCTTTACAAGAGCTCCTGAAAGAGACTCTACACATATAAAGGAACAACCAAAACAGACACTCCAAAAACATGCAAAATGGTAAAGAGCATCAACACAATGAAGAATCTGCATCAACTAATGGGCAAAACAGCCAGCTAGCACCAAAATGGCAGTATCAAATTCGCACATAACAATATTAACCCTAAATGTAAATGGACTAAATGCCCCAATCAAAAGACACAGACTGGCAAATTGGATAAAAAGCCAAAACCCATCGGTGTGCTGTATCCAGGAAACCCATCTCACATGCAAGGATACACAAAGGCTCAAAATTAAGGAATGGAGTATGATTTATCAAGCAAATGGATAGCAAAAGAAAAAAGCAGGAGTTGCAATTCTCATCTCTGATAAATTAGGCTTTAAAGCAACAAAGATCAAAAGAGACAAAGAAAGGCATTACAAAATGGTAAAAGGATCAATGCAACAAGAAGAGCTAACGGTCCTAAATATATACACACCCAATACAGGATCATCCAGATACATAAGGCAAGTTCTTAATGGCTTGCAAAGAGACTTAGACTCCCACACAATTATAGTGGGAGACTTTAACACCCCATTGTCAATATTAGACAGATCAACCAGACAGAAAATTAACAGGGATATCCAGGACTTAAACTCAGACCTGCACCAAGCAAACCTAATAGAGATTTATAGAACACTCCACCCCAAATCCACAGAAGATACATTCTTCTCAGCACCACATCACACCTACTCTAAAATTGACCACATAATTGGGAAGAAATCACTCCTCAGCAAATGCAAAGCAACAGAAAGCATAAAAAACGGTCTCTCAGACCACAGTGCAATCAAGTTAGAACTCAGAATTCAAAAACTAACTCAGAACCACACAGCTTCATGGAAACTGAACAACTTGCTCTTGAATAAACTGGATAAACAATGAAGTGAAGACAGAAATAAAGATGTTCTTCAAAACCAATGAGAATGAAGACACAACATACCAGAATCTCTGGGACACATTTAAAGCAGTCTCTAGAG